GGTTGGTATTATCTGAGAACCGAAGTCCAAGTCCCTGGTTCTCCATGCAAAGCCTATCGAATGTATCATGTCTTTGCGCAAGGGAACTACCATGGATGTAATCGAGTCGAAGGATATTTCGCGGTTCTACCGAGATATAATTCCAGCCATCAGGGCAACTTCCCCCAACCACTAGCCTACCGAACTGCAAAAACTGGCCCCACTTATTGAGGGCGGCGTTGGTTCCACCTTCCGCAAAATCTAGATATCGAAATGATTTCTCATTGGTGTATAGTTTTGAGAGCCCGACGAACTGTTTTGGTGGCCCGCGCTGTTCACCCTGTGATTGAGCTTCGGTGCGCATGTTAGTACTGTAGAGACTTCAAATCAGTGGCAACGAGAGCGATGTACCTGGGACAGTCACTGTGTGCCTTGTGGGAGAGCCCAGTGGGGATTCCATGATGAATTTTTACAAAATGTACCCCCCTTCCTGATCGAACGTATCCGAAGATGTAGAATTGTGGTCCAAATACCTATGATAGGGTATCAAAATATTTTCACAGGGCACTTGTAGGCACCAGTTCCCCAGATCTGTACTTATCCCTCTTTCTCCGGCAGGGTACCCCAGCCGCACCCAATTGTTTGAGCTTTTGTGGTGATACAAATCTAGCCGGACACCCCGGTATCTCCACAAGAATCGGAAAGACCAATACCCCTGTCATGCACTGTCAGATAGTGCAAAAAAACAAAATAGAACCACCCAACCTGGATTGGCAGTCCAAGAAGCCGCAATGTGTGAGAGGGAACCGAGAATCTGAAACTAATGACCGAACATTGAGACTTGATTTAACTCGAGCAAATTCATAGGAAGCTGGAATAAGCCGTATCCAAATCTCCTTTGCTCACCTGTAATGCATACTTTTCATCGCCAGAGCGGCCCAAAATGCGCATAACAAATTCCATAATTTAAAGTTGCGTTTTTGATGGGGGACGGAAAAATGTTAGTCGCATGGTTTCTGCTTAGTAAGTGTGAAGACAGTGACCAGGAGGTAATCTAGGTCCCAGCAACAGTGACCTCAGATTACCGGTGCAGTACTCGTGTGCCGTACAAGCGGTATCTGGAAGACTTGGTCCACCCACACCCCCGGAACCCTCCCTGTCAAAAACTACATCTGCACTATCCGATGGCTCGGCGCTTTTGAGGCTTGGTCCGCGGCCCGGGGCGTGAACGACCTCGAGCTGGACAGCAATGCTCACCCAAATTCTGTGCCAATGAAAAATTGCATATGTGTGGCGAATGACCACATGAAAGAAAAAGAAAAAGGTGCAGTTCAGGTAGAGTTAGAAGAGACTTCATTAAAGTGATTCTTTCCCGCCCTTTTCCTACAAGCGATGTGAAAGTTTCGGCAGTATCCGTATTAACTCGAACACAGTAAGAGCAAGGTCTGAAGATCTCCAACCTTCCCCTCTGGGCAATGCGTTGTTTTGTTTTTCCGGCACACTCTCCCGTCGCCGCCAAAACAGGAAAGTCAGACGTCCCAAGACGTGTTGCTCTTATTCCAGCAAATATTGTTTGGGTACTGTACCCGTACCCACCAATAATAACCTTGCGGAATACCGGTACCACTACCGACCACCACTACCGACCCTTGCCCCAGAAGCGCCAAGCCATCAACCAGCGGAGGTGTTCTTGGCAAAAACACTTGAGAGTAGGTTCCCTTCATCAACTGGAGGGATCCTCCATCAACTCGCTGCTGGTATGCGACAATTTGATACCTACTGTTCAAAACCCGCACGAGATTTTGTACTCATGGACAGGACATTTTTTTCAAAAGGTTTAGCCCCACACCTCGCCGGGCATAGGCAAGGACCGGGGACCATATCTGTAATCCTTTTCAATACCATAATATTAGTCAATCGGTATGGGGGATTCACCCATCGCGATACCCTTGGGATACAGGATTCAAGTCGATTATCCATACTTACTAACTGATGGATCGAAACCGGCATATAAGGGTGCGCTCTGGCGGTCAGAGTACGATGCTAGCCCTGTTTGGTACTCACAAGCAAATGTCTCATTTTCTAATCCCTCCGGTAATGCGAGACATGGAACCTGCTCCCCCGAGCCTAGGCGAGCGCTGTACTCGAGTACAAGTACCCATGGCACAGTACGCAGCAGGGATCAGAGGTTCGGTGGAAGTGGCACGGTACAAGTACCGGTACCGGCTGCCGGTACAGCGCTTGCGAGTTGCGCACCATAACCTCGTCCTAAATCAGAGCCATTGAAAAGGTTTCCTCGGGCTCTGGGGCACCTGCAACTCCACGCAGAAGACTAAAGTGTGCTCCAATAATCACTTAGGGAAGCTCTCGAGCGGGTATTTAAAATATTTCTATTTGTAGGTGCCGTTGCTGCGGGTCGCAATATTGGTCAATGTTGTTACGAGGATTCATGACCCACCCCTGCACCGGTAAGTAGCTAAAAGACTCCCCAGTCATGATAGATGGTCCACTGCCGAGAGTGCTTCGAGAAAACCTGCGCACCTCCGGGGTACTGTACTCGGACATGGAAGTAAAAATCGAGCAAAACAGGGATAGGAACAAGGAATCTCGGGAATCTTGAAATTGACATCATAGAAAAAAAAGAGGTATGAAGAAAGTCAAAATACCGGAGCTTTGCATCTTGATCATTGTGGAAGCTAGCAGTTACTGCTATCATTAAAACATTTACAAAGTCCCAAAACCCTAATACCCCAACTTCCTATCAAACTTTAGAAGCTCAGGTATAGAAAGTAAAAGAGGGGGAAGCAAAGAAGAATCATCAGTCCCATGTTGCGCCTGATAAAGGCTGGTATGGGTTCTTGTGTGCTGTACTCCAACTTGCCGATCTTTTCTACAATTCTGGCCGCCTCCGTACTTCAATGCAACGACAGGGTTTCTTGTTTTGCTCGATTTTTACTTCCATGTCCGAGTACAGTACTCGAGTATGGTAAGATGGTGTGCGGCAGCAGGCGCACGGGATGGATCTACCGCGAAATTAGCGAGCTCTTTCCTATCCTGAATGGGCGAACGAGGAAAAAGAAAAGTAAAGGATCGAAGGAATGTTATTTCTGACTATTTACAGCATCGCAGATGCACTAGTTCAGCTCATGCACGCGCTGAGGCTGGAGCACTGAACTCGAGTATGGAAAAGCGATCACATTGTCCGGGGAATGCTGTCTGCGGCTGCGGGGGGGGGGGCGGAGGGGGCGCTCAAGGAGGAAAACCTTGTGAATATGATATCATTTCATGCGCAGAGCTGTAAACCCTTTCAGCTACGGTCGGCCTGGTGGTGCTGTACAGTACACAAGGGAAAAAAGTAAAACATTTGCCAAAACTTACCGCGACCTAAATCGCAGCTAACAAGATCAACCGCACGCCCGTCTGTCTATCCCTCCAATAACCCAAAGGAGTTGAAAGGGAAATATTAGGGATTTTTCCGAAATTTCCTCAAAAGTTTCCAAGGCCTTAGTTGGCCAATACATTATAGAGCTTTCATAGGGTGCGATATCAATCAACTATTATACAAAATGACTTTCATGGTATCATATAATTACTACTTTATGTATTCATCGCTCGGAATGCGCATTCTGGTTATAAGCGAACTTAACTTGGGCTGGCTACATCTTCCTCCACATAATATAGTCTAAATTCTTCATAAACCCACACGAGTATTAGAGTTCACGAGGCATGATAGTTGCCCGCGCTTAAAGCCAAGTTGAGGTAAAGTTACGTGCCAAAATTGCGACAAAAACGCAGACAAGTGCCTTGCCACTCCCAACACCGTCATCCCTCGCACCCCGAGCTCAACCCTAGATTGACCCGCCCCACCTCTTCTTTACTTCTCGGTTCCCACCACTTGGGTTGCTGGTTTTTCCCGGCGAGACATTACGGGCTTGCGCAGAGAGTTTGCACAGTGCTCTAGTACGTCTTTTGAGTTGTGGTTTTTTTCCTGACCTATTGCTGACTCACACCCAGATCCTTCTATAACACAGTTTAATCGCAAGCACGATGGCGCACCGTAGGGGAGAAAATTGGGTTTTAGATTTTGTTAATACCTGTTCTCCTGTGGCGGTTTTTTCTCCGCGTATTTAAGAGTGATCTCCAAGTATTTTCCAGAGAGATGAGGAATCCACATCACAGAGGGGTAATAAGAAAAAGTCAAGGGCAAGAACTTTCTTGATGGGGAGACGGACGACAAACAAACACGACAATTTCCCAAACAGTGACTGGCAATTACCGGCAGGAAAAAAAAAAAAATAGTATTGCCAACCAGCACCCTTATTCTCTCCCTCTTGTGCAAACTTATCACCAATTCGGAAATATTTCATTTCCTTTTTCTTGCACCCCGAAACTCTTTTTCCTACCGCCGCGGTATCAGCTTCTAGATTGTGGAACGTGCCCAAAGATGCCATTGTGCCAGTCTAGTTAGAGCCCACGCATAAACATCGGGGGTTTTGTCGCCGGATGGAAGGCGTGCTTACAAGCTTTAATATTGAGACTCCAATCTAGCTCATTCGCTCGACTAGTTCGCCTATGGAGATGGGTCGGGTGGTAATCATGAAACATCACTCATACTTTCTCCTCCCGGAAGATTTTGGCTGATTCTCATCGTCATTCAAGTTGTGGTCTGCGTGCATTGTGTGTTGTAATGAGTAAGGAGGTGCGGGGGGGGGTATTATGGTTTGGGTCGGCTTTGGAAGTTTGATGGTGCAAATTAGTTGGTATTACCACTATGGCGGAGGTTGTTCCATGCCCTCATAGTGATGATTTAGGATTAATAGAATGGGTGTATAAGACCGGTATGGAAAGGAGAGAGGAATATAAGGTAAAAATCGTCAATTATGAGTCTGGTATAAATCATAGAGTATCACTCGCTTACGCTGGCATCTCCTGGAGACAAATGGTGTGATGAAAGAAAAAAGGGTCACTATACAAGCGCGTAGGTGCCACACGTTGTCTAGCATGTCCCACTAGCCCACGAACATAATGCCCAATAACGCCCCCCCCCCCCCAGCCACCCATTTCTTATGTAGAGGGGGGTGCCTCCATAGCTTCAACAGTAGTTCCTTGTTCCTCCGCGTCAAATTCCTTTACCTCCTTGGACCGGAGCGCCTCTACAACGATGAGGAGCTGCATGGCCTTCGCTGGTTTCATCAACCAGCCAACTAGCCCTCTATGTTCCTTCGTACTATCCGGCTCGGACTTCCAAATAGCTTCATACCCTTCCTGCTGCGACATCAAATTCTTCTCAATCCCCTCCGGCGGGGCCCTCTCACCTTCGGTGATGTCATCCCCAGTCCACAACCAGACCGCAGTGCGATGAGCTAATCCTATCAAGGAGAGGAAGGCATATCCGGCGAGAAGAATCATGTACACAAGCACGAGCTGAAGAATCCATATGGGGGCCCAGGGAACCCTCACAAACTTTTTCAGGGGTCCAGCCTTTTTGATCTTCTGCAGCCGGAGCGCACGGATGATGAAGGTTAGCTCTTGTACGGGAACAACGATGATAACAAATATCGCCATAAAGTACCAATACCACCAGTCGCTCCCGCTGTCATGAATAGCATTATCCGTGAGTAGCGCGCTGCGCTTTTCCGCTTCGCGGAGGCTTTGAGCCCGCTCTTTCCAGAATTTCCAACCCGGCCGCTTTTCTTGATAGGTGGGTTCCTTGCTAGAGACTTTTGCGTCTAGGGATCCAGCCATTCTCAGGCGGATTGAGCGCTGGGCCCAGGTTTTTAGGGCCTCCAGGTTACGGCGGAGGAAGGCGAGATTCATAAGGAGGATTATGGTGCCGAAGGTGACGGCGAGCATGATTCTGATGAGAGCCCTTTCAGGAGATTTCCAATTGAGGCCTTGTATAGCCACGATGCTCTATGGGTACCAGGTTAAGATACTTGCCGTTTGCTTACGGGAGGAAGTAGATACGTACAGTAGAGAACGTTAAGGGCAAATAAATGGCTGTAACAACAGCAAAAAGATTCACTGTGTATCCGAGTTGTGTCGAGGTTCTTGCTTCTCGAAGTTCTAGCTCGCTAGACAACTAATATCACCGTTAGCACACATCTTCTCAAGAAACACCGTCGAGCCATGGTGGGATGCTTACCGATCCCTTAAGAGCTGTAATCCGGCCTATCCGCTCATCCAGGTTTTTCTCCATTTTCTCGAGCAGAGCACAGCGCGCCTTCACATCCGCTCGGTTCTGAGCAACCTCTTCTCCAAAGCTCTTTTGGTCCTTTTCGGACCACCGAGGTTTGTGTCTTCGTATGTTTTCTTCCAATATCCATTGCTGCGCAACGCGACGGCTAGTAAAACATTTACTCCAGAGAGTATGATAAACTTCAAGCAGCCAAGGATAGAATACACTATTCTTGTTCATGGTTTTGAAGTAGTTCTCCCCACGGAGGTCATCTTCTGTGAGCAGTAGGTTGAAAAGTGCTTGTGATTTCTGCTTTGAGCAGGCATTTCATCAGCATATGAATAACACCGTTAGCACTTTTCCAATAACAAACCTACTTTTTTCTCCCCCACAGACTTAGTGATAGTATCGAGGACAGTCTTGGTCTCCGAGAGTACAAGATCGAGAGCCTGGCATACAAGAAACCCCTCAAGGCACTTTCTTTGACTTGAAGACTTGCCATAACCACTCTGTGTCACTTTAGTCCTAGCATCCGACGTGAGTTCCTTGCTTCCGAAGTCGTAAAACACATAGCAGGTCCAGTACCGGTCATGCAGGTCACCGATAATGCGGAAGCCCATTGCGGCCTCGGCCATGATGCGGGTTGGCGGAACATTCATACTCAGGAACTTTGCACGTCTCTTCGGAAAGTAGTTTGGCAGGAGAGGTGACTCCACATCAGCCAGCGATGGGGCTGTGATAAAATTGATGTTGAATTCTGTAATCCAGAGATTATCTGGCATGATTGTCTTTGGAAGTGTTAGCCATTGTGGGGGTATTTTGTTCAGGGAGCAGGGGGATTGACATACCTGCTCTGAAAATCTCATTTCGCGAGAATCCATAGGGCGCAGCCGCGAGATAAATTCACCTATCTGGCCAGCTTCCTGAAAATCTAGGTTGGCCATTAGGGAAATTAGATGCTCGATCATGCAATCTCCCACGATTCTAGATCGGACTATCAGTCGGGGCTCTCGTTCGCACATAGGGTATGGGGGGGGGGGGTTAGAGAGATGGGTATAAACATTATCCTTTTTTTATCTACTTTGCGATCCCTCTGCTCTCAGCCAGTGAGTAAATCTATATCACTACTGTAGGGAGATAGTTTCTCATACCTGCTCCTGTAACCTCAATAGCGCTCTACTCCCATAAAAGAAATTGGACTCCTTGTTTCTGTATGGTTGGATCACTAGGTTTTGTTTATTTCCCCAGTCATAATTCGACATATCTGCCATATTTTTCGTGAAGTTGACCTTGCCTTCACTAGTTTCCCAAAAACAACTCCAATTACCTTCCAGCTTCCAGTTATTTTCCAGACTCCAATTACTTTCCAGTTTCCAATTGTTTTTCTCCTCCAAAAAGGTTTCTATAAATTTCCTAGTAATTTTGAATTTCTTCGGTTTGTGCCTCATGAAGAGAGGCTCTCTGAACCAGTACCACTCGCCATAAGCTGCCCTGGTTAGAACAAACATAATATCGCCGGAACTTTTGAAAACCACTTACAAGGTGGATCGTTTACTTGACGGCGGTCCTCAGCGGTGATATTGAAGCGTTTCCACTTTCCTCTCTTTCTACCATCCTGACCAACATTAGGACCGATAAGGGCGGGGTATAATCCACTGGCCTCCCTGTTGCCTGTCTGCGGGGACAGGGGTCGATGTCTCTCGCCGATGCTTATAAAAGGATCTTTGTCTCTTAATTGGAAGCGTTAGTTGGTGGTTTAAACCCCCTGAACCGTTTGCCGTATATGCTGGTCTATCCTACCTCGGAATTCTGAACTGAGGATACAGCAACTCAGTATGATCCGCACTAAGGACATATGTAACCATTTCCCAAGCTGGGGGGTGAGGACAATGGGAGCCTGGGGTAACTGCGCCACCAGCAAAGAGCCCGGTTGAATAAATTCTCGTCTCCAAATCATTGCGCCACTTTTGGCGATCATGTCTGCTAATCGCAAGCTTGTAGCACATAAAGGATTCCGATGTGTTTGGTTCGAGATAGCGGCTGAATCTATCGTAACGTCTGAGCGTCCCTATCCAAGCAGCTATCGGTTCATTCCCGTCGTCGAAGAAGAAATCTTCCACGAATGATGGAGCGGCAATATCGCAATTCCATTGGTCCATAGAGAGTTCTCTAATATGCCCTGAAATTGCTGAAGGTAGATGATCTGGAGGATTACCGAAACTCGTGTCAGTATCAAGGTAGCGGAAAGCCTCTAATGTCCGATCTCTAATTGCCTCGTCGCCTAAACTTTGCTCAACCATCCATTGGCTCCAACCCCGTTCGCCGGAAACCAAGTTAAGTAGCCTATTTGCGGACCGAGCGGCCCTCCAGACAAGAACTTGGGTCGTTATTGTATAGACATAGGTACCCTGTCCACCATAGCCATAATTCTTAACGCCCCCCGAGTCCCGGGATTGCGCATTCATAACATATCCTGATCCCAAGTCCAGGGGTTGCGCATTCGTAACATATCCAAATTCAGAGTCCTGGGGTCGGGCGTACGGCGGTGAGAATCCTTCCAGGATATCTAACCGATCCGGCCATAGACGAGATCCTCGATGCTTGCTCATCTCAATTGGCTCCCAAGCTAGCTTTAGGAAAGCTTCCACCATTCGAGCGATCAGGGGTTTTTCATCCGGATAGTTGGTCAAGCACATATCCAACAAAATAAGGAACCGGCAGCAATTACGGAACTTATCTTCGTACTTAGATAGCTCTGGCTCAAAGGGGCTCAGAGTGAAAGGATCGGAGGACCCTTGGGCCTTTCCAGGGTTCGACCTTCTTGCTTTCTTGGGACCGGTGGTTGATCCTAGGGGCCCTACAGATAACCCTGAGTCGGTTTTAAACCCGTTGAATCTATCTTCCTTCCGGGCGTGCCGACAGGTCTCGCGGGCTTCGCGACCTCGGACTCCGAGGATTTCTCCGCCGGTCTGCTGAGGACTTCCTTCCCTTCCTCCCTCTTTCCCTCCTCTACGAGCTCCCTGGTCTCATCCTTTTTCGTAAGTGGCGCAAGTTTTCCTGACCAATGTAAAATAACCATCTCAGGAAAGCCGTTTCGTTCGGCATGTTGTAGTACCCAAACAAAGTATCCAAAAATTACCTCTCGAATCCTCTCACGGTAGTGGGACTTCGTTGCTTGATCCGCGGTATCCTGCTGTTGCAGTACCCTATCAAATTCGAGGAGGTAAAAAGCCTGGTCCCTACATCTTGTTAGGCTAGTTCTAAGTTGGCTAATAAGGCAGGCAGCTTACAGAGAACTACTCCATGTCTGGCACGTATTGATGAGATCATGATTGTGCAGAACATAGGGCTGATAGGTTTCACCACCGACCCGAGGCAGTGGCATGGCGTGTGAGAGTATAGCCTCAAGATTTCGCCTAAAAATAAACGACCAGGATTCAGTCTTGAAGCTCCACCACCGATTACTAACTGGTTCTAAACAGGGAGATATATCGAAAAACTGCGGTAGGATATTGGAAACATTCTTGTTTTCGTTTTCGCGATCCAATTTGAATACCGAGGTAAATTTCACTCTCCCCCTCGATTTCAATTTAAAAGTTTCGCGATGCCTTATTTGATCGTCCGAAAGAATGCCAATGTCACACCTACTCATGTCATCTTGTTTGCCGTCCCGAAGGAGGTTAAATGACTTCGGTTTACCATCTTCGAATAAACTTGCCGTCGCGTAGTACTTGCCGCGCCGGATTTTCCAGTGGGATCGCGGGGCTTCTTCTTCAGGCAAACACTCCAGAAAATGGTGGGGAGCATCCTCCTCCCTGCCCCTTGGTTGGCCCATGTCCCAAATGGCTATCCGAATTCCAGTGGTGAACTGAAATTCCAGACTGAGCTCTGTTTCCTCGTCAGATTCCGAATTCAAGTACATATCTTGAATAATCTCGCCATCCCGGATATAATGCTGTAGGACGACCCTGACTTTCCCCTCTACGGTGTAGCATACTTCTGGCCATCTATCGTTTATGTAGTAGTGTTCGGGCTCCGAAATGTTAGTATTACCCGAGAATCTAAGCCCAAGTCCTTGATTCTTCGTGCAAAGCGCATTGAATCTATCGTGTCTTCGTGGATACGCAGGGATATGCTGATAGACCCAAATACTAGGTTTCCACTCCGGGTTGTCCGGCTCCCAGCCTTGCGTTCTCCTTTTTTCTGAAACCCTCTCCCTTTCCTCCTCGTCTTCCTCCTCCTCCTCCTCTTCGGGTTCGTCGGGTGTCTGCGCTGGCACAATATGCTCGAGCCGAAAGATATTTTGAGGCTCCACAGAGATATAATTCCAGCCATTGAGGTCGCCATCGCAGTGTCGGGCGTCACCCCCCACTAACCTACTTAGCTGCAAAAATTGGCCCCATTTGTTGAGGGCAGCGTTAGCGCCACCTTCTGCGAAATCGAGATATCGAAATAATTTCTCCTTGGTGTCTAGTTTTGAGAGCCCAATGTACTGTCTCGGCGGCTCACCCTGTTCACTCTGCGATTCATCTTTGGTCCGTAAATTAATATCGTTAAACCTTCAAATTGGTTGCGACAGAGTGGCCTACCTGAGGATGTTAGTCCTGTAGAGGGATATGATTTCATGTATCTTGCCATGATAAATGTTCACGGAGTATGCCTCCCGCTGATCTAACGTACTCGTGCCCGATCAAGTAGAATTGTGGGT